AGTGGGGGAGGAAGGAAGGAAGAGAGGGAGGGAAGGAGGAAGGAAGGAAAAAAGGAAGGAAGGGAGGGAGGGAGGAAGAGAAAGTAGAAAGAAAGGAAGAGAAGAAAGGGAAGGAAGCAATGGAGAGAGGAAGGGAAAGGAAGGAAGGACAATGGTCACTGAAGCGTGTCCAGAAGAGGGTGCCCAGAGTGGGGAAGGACCAGGAACCATGCGGTGCACAGGCTAGTTGGGACCCCCTGGGGATGTTTATTTAGACTGAAAAGACTCAGGGGAAAGTAAGGCTGACTTCCAGCAGCTCGGGGGCTGTCATTAGGAGGAAGAATCAGAGCCCATTCAGCTCCAAGGTTCATAAGAGCACAAGGGAGGAGCTAAGAGGTTACTTATGCACATTGGCAAGACAAGCTTCCTCCCAGTGGCTGAGCCCAGGCCCAGGGAGTCAGGGGATCAGCCCTCCCTGGGCTTTTCAAGGCAAGGCCAGGTGTGCTGCCAAGGGGAGTCCTGGCCAATAAGGGCTGGACGAGAAGCTGCCAAGGCTCCTTCCAGCTCTAAGACCATGACTCTACGAAGGCAGGAGGCGGCAGAATAGGGACTTGAACCCAGGTCCTTAAACTCCAAGTTCCTGTAGGACCTCATGATGCTTTTTCTGTCCATCTCTAACCCTAATCCAGTGACTGTGGCTCCTCATTCCCCTCTCCGACCCCCAGCATCTCTCCTGGGTGCCTCCCTCTCGCCTCCCTGGCATGCTAGGGCCAGGGCTGACCTGGGAAGTTCCTGCAGCCGCCCGCCGTGCTCCCACGCCGCCAGGTGCCATCGTACAGGGTCGTGTTCCATTTGCGGAATTTGTTTGACTTGAGGGTGTCTGGGGTCAGGTTGCAGATCTCCAGACGGGAGAACTCACGGAGAAAGTCATTGAAGGACATCCTGGGGGCCACGACACATGAGCCAGGCCATCCAACAGGCCCTGGGGTACGCTATTCATGGGCTGGTGAGGGGGCAGGGAAAAAGCACGAGGGTGCGGACAGCCCAGGAGCACCTACCCATAGTGTAGCAGAAAGAGCTTGGGGTCTGGGTTCAAATCCTAGCTATGCTGCTAACCGCTCACATGAACCTAATATAGTCACCTGTCTTTTCAGGGCCTCAGTTTCCCCCTCTTTAAATTTTAGGGTTGTTCTAGATCAAGGCTTCCTAACCTGGAGTCTGTGTTGTTGTTTTTTTTAATATTTCAATATTATTGGTTTATTTTGTGATCCTGTATATTTTATTTTATGCATTCCAAAAAATGATTCTGAGAAAGGGTCTGTCCAGACTAGTTGTTCAATGGGTCCATAACAGAAAAAAGGTTAAGACTCCCTGGACTAAATCATCTATATCCTCCCTCAGCTTGTCCATTCTATGTTCCAAGGTCCTTCCTACCTCTGACACTCCATTTTCTATGTTCTAAGTAAGGTTCCTCCCAGCTCTGACATTCTATGACCCACGTTCTAACAGCCTTCCTGTATTCCCACGATGCTTTGCTCTAGGGACAGAGATACCATACGCTTAAGGTCTTGGGGGAGAGTACCGAGTGGCTGGGGAGGGGGTCTTGGGGAGGGGGCCTTCTGAGAGAGTCCAAAGTGGCTGGGGAGGGGGCCTTCTGAGAGAGTCCAAAGTGGCTGGGGAGGGGG